TTCTTCCCCAAAAATACAGATCGTCAATAAGTACACTAAAAAAATGACACATTCATGACCAATGCACCTATTAACTGAAAGTTTGAAGGTACATTACCTTAAATTTACTAATAACAGCTGCATTCAGTGTATCTTTATAAAAGATACATTGAGATCAAATGTCTGAATAGACGTCTATTCGATTAATTACAAAATTAGCATAATAATAAACATACATTTTAACCTTCTTCATCTACCTCGTGAAAAAATACCTCTATAAATAGCGTATCTAAAAGTCAAAACAAAAACACAATAAAAAAATGGAACAATTAAGACAGTAAAGAACACAAACTAACATACAAATACTTTCAAGTTTTCTGGACGTCGCGCATGCAAAACAAAAATTGCATGCAAGTTGATATTGACCATCTCGAATCTAAACTCTACATGTCCAACCAAAAAAAGATCAGCAGAAGAAAATGGTGAAGTCCTTCAACAAAAAGCTACAAAACAGAGAAAACTACAAACAGAGAAGAAGAAAGCGAATAAGCTTGAGGTAGAGTTGAAGGGCCTCAAAATTAAATTAAATATAAAAAATAAACCACATATGTAACCTCCTATGAATGAAATATAATATATTAAATTTTAATTTGTGTACCTATGATATTTAATTTTGTGTATCTACACGATGAGAAATGTACGTGAATTTCAAAAAAGACATTATTCAAGTTAGCTAAGAGGTTTCCTACTAATTCATAAATCCAATTTAGCATCTTTTTAAAATTCTTTTAAATATTGAATATATTGTAATTAATTAATTTAAGGGCAGAGATCCATGGGCTCCCTTAGGTGTAATTTTGACCTTAATAAAGGTATACTAAAAAAAATAGGTACGTAATTAAAATATATATATATATTTTCGAGACAAAAAATAATAAGTACACTAAAACACAGATCGTCAGATAGATACATTAAAATACATAGAGTTAATAAATTTTTTTCTCCATAAACACAGATCATTAATATACCTTATTCTCCATAAATAAATATCATTAAACATGTACACTAAAATAAAGATCGTCATACAGGTATACTAACATACAAATCATTAAAATATATTTTTCTCTATAAACACAGATCGTCAAACAGGTACACTAAAATACAGATCGTTAGTGTACATTTTTTTTCCTTAAACACATATTGTTAAAACAGGTATATTAAAACACAAATTGTTAGACGTCATCATAATGTCTAAATTATTTAATTCACGAGTTTAAATTTCAAAACTAATAGACAACACATCAAAAACCTCAATAACAAACACAAAATGAAAAAAGAAAAAAAAGAAAACACTAATTATATCTTAGGCTGAAATCATGTGATGAGGATAAAATGAGTAATGAAAATCAGTAACTAACCAATCCCTTAACATTCGCGCCAACATAAGGACTGCATGCAAGTTTTTTTAAAATTTGAATAACCTTTTTTAATAGTAAAAAATCAGTAGAATTAAAATTAATTTACACACCAAACGATAGACTTTAGCCTAATTAACTATTAATTTTAAAAGGTAGAACTTGACCATTAAAAAATAAAAACTTTTGATATAGTACTGAATTTTTTTGGGAATTTTGGAAGCTAGTACACAAAATTGGACTTAATTTTTAAAAAATACATAAAAAAAATATTTTATAAAAAAGTCCAATTAATACATAGAAAAGACTTGAATACCCTTTTATTGTAAATAAGTTTTTGAATTTTTTTTAAAAAAAACCCCACATATATAAATCCTCTCTATTTTTTTAGGAATTTGTTTCAAAGTTTTTGAAATTTGACAACTAAAAGTACGGAATTTTAATTCTCTTATTTTAGAAAGGATTAAAATTAAAGAATTTTGATTTTAGATTTAATTTGATAACGTATATATATGTATTGGTACGCTTTAAATTTGTATAATTCTTACACTTGTATCAATATAGTGTATCAAAAGAGTATATGAGTAATAAAAACTAGGCTTCATAGTGTGATTTCGTAGTATCATATTTGTATATTAATACATATATACGTCACCAAATTAAATCTAATGTAAAATTATAATTCTTTAATTTTAATACTTTCTAAGATGAGATAATTAAAATTTCTTAATTTTAGTTGTCAAATTTTAAAAGTTTCTAAAAAATTTGAAACATATCCTTAAAAAAATGGAGAAAATTTATTATGAGTTTTGATTTTATTAATTTTTAGATTTTTATTTTATTAGAACTCATATATATTAGAACTTATATATATATAAATTTTAAAGAAAAATTGTAAAAATTCAAATTGTATATTTGAACATAATTAAGTTCTAAAAATAAGGATTTAGTGACCTAAAATTTTTTTTTGGAGGGGAGGAAGGAAAGGGGTTTGAACCCTTGATTTCAAGAAGGCAAAACTTTTAAAAGACAAAGAGTACCGTTGAACCTAACATTAAGAGGTGTATCCTTTTTGACAATTATATTTAATTTTGTGTATTTTTTTACGATTTCTCCAAATTTTTTTATGTCCTGCAGTCATTTGAAATCCACGCGCCATTGGGTTTTACCAAGCCTATGCATTTTGGCTTCGAGACACAACAGATTGTGGGCCTTGGACAAGAAAGGCTGTAAATGATGGGCCTTAAAAGTCTATCAAAAGTAAGGCATTAAATTTGACAACTTTATTTAGTCCAAATACCTTATCCAGCCCAAACCCATAAAACAGACAGGAGATTAGGGTTGAGGCTTACCCGGTATTCAATATCAACAGGGCCTTTCAGATCCGTGGGTACTACCCAAATGGTAAAATCTAAAATGTCACTCGTTTCAACGGATTAAGAGTCTCTTTATTTTACTTTCTCTCAATTTTGTTTAATGATAAATCATCTATATCTTGTATATTATTAAATGGTGGGTCCTATGTATATTAATGGTAGATGATCTACCGATGAATAAAATTGAGTGAAAGTGTAATGAAAAAGATCTGAATTTTATCTTTTCAAATGATTTGATATTTACCTCAATCTTAATCCTCTCTCGTGTTTTGAGTCATATGCATAACCCATGAACTACAAAGACATGGCTAGAAATGTCTTCTCTCTCAATCAAATTCTTCATTTATAGACCCTGATAAACTAAACAAATTCGAAAAGTTTCATCTTATACCATATTAAAAATAGAACTAAAAAAAGTTCAAATACTTCTGTCATACAATACCAGCTAAGCATCATGTAAAAATCAAGTTATTCGTCTGACCCTTTTATTGGTCCTCTAAGCCGGTCTTGTCATTTTTCATACCCATATTAAAAACTAAGTCAATTTTGACCCATTAATTTCTTGTCTCGTTAATTTTTTGTATTGAAAATTACCACCCCTGCAACTGACAAAATATGCTTCCTCGTGTAGCCCAAGAGTTTGACTCAATACTCTTTTGATGATTTTAAGGTTTGACAGAATTACACTACTGTTCATTAATTTGTGAACTAGGCAAGTTAAGAACCTCACAAGACGAATGTGCCATTATGATTTGAAAATCAATCTTTCATTCGCACCATCAATTATCCATCCACACTTGGATGATTTCTATACTTGCCATTACAGGGCAGTTGTTAATTGCATTCTTGTCACAAAAACTCTCTCTCTAGGCAAGGATAGTATTGCATATTATCTAATATTCCCTAGATTCCGCAACAAAGGACCCTTATATGCCCCTTACCTGACGTTAATGTCAGGAAGAATACAATTTTAAAAAAATATGTACCTAGTGCATGAAACTCCTATCATTATGGAGTCTGAAGAATGTTAGATATACGTAGTACACAATTTTATCTTTACAAGCAGAGAGACTGTTTCCATAATTCGAACTCGTGACCTCCAAATCACAATAGAACAACATTACTGTTGTGTCAAGGTCCGCCATCAGGTAGAATACAATCTCTTCTCCAAAAACACAGAGTAAAGAGGCAACAATCTGGGAAGACTAGTGTTAAAAGTAGTATACAGTACCAAAGAGGAAGAATATACAGTTTTCATTTTAAATATAATATTCAGATACAGAAACAGCGGTGCTGCAGATTTAGCACAATTTCAACAACTTTACATTTTCAGCCTTTGCGGTTCCTGCTTTCGGGTTTCTATGACAAGAAAACTGTGTATCAAGGGTGAAAATAAAAAGCAAAATTTTTTAACACTAGATTCATCATACCGCCCACGGATCCCATGTAAAAGAGCATACGCAACTATATGTGCTAAAATTTAATTTGGTCATAGCAGTTAGAAAATGAATCTGAACTGACAACTGGAGTAGAAGAGGGCACAGCAACCAGATGTTGTGAGGTACGGTTGACTGGAATTGGCCTATATGCGCGTGGGTGCTGAATTACTACCAAGACAGAATTGTTTACGCATCTGTCACTGGAAGAAGTTGGCTGCAAGAGAACAATTAGAAACTTCACATTACATGGATATCACCAAGGGATTGCTGAGTTCATAATGAAGACAATATATGTTCATGCTCAGGTTTGTTACTAATATATAACATAAACCCATGAAAGGCATTAATTTCGAGCTGGCATTACTTACCACCCCAATATGCCATTCATGACTACAGAAATCTTTGAACGCTGCTGCATCCATTTCCTGAAGTAACATGAGCAATATTAGAGAATAGGAATGTATAATTGGGACATTTATTTTCACACAGTTAAGCTTCCAGTTAACAACTTGGATCGCCTTTTTGAGCCTCATCAACTATGTAAAATGGATATGGCTGCATCTCAGTGATTGACGAACGTATATGGTGCTGGACACAACAGCCTATTAAGAAACTATGTTCTGTTCATTGCGACAGTAAGTGAGAATGGCTAAAATGGAGACTAGAACGTACGAGTATCATAGTTAGATATCTAAAATTAGAATTGAGAATTTTGCGTTATGGTTGATGTGAGCTACAAGTGCAATGCTTGGGACTCCAATTACGATTTTTTGGACTTAATTTTCATTTAACTGGTGCCCGAGAGGCAAAACAGCAAAATGAGGTACATGAGGAGTTTGCACTAAAAAATTCCACAGAAATGATGCTGGGCTGTTCAAATGATATCTATTAGAACTTACAATGCTGTAGATGGGAGGCACCATTTTTTCCTCTTTAGATTTCATGGTAGGCATAACAGAGAAACGTGGCGCCACATCTTGCGACCTGAAAGTCCATCTGTAATAAAGAGGAACTATATTTATGTCAGAATGGCTGAGGACAAACAAAGGAAGACATTGCTGTCTGTCAACTGCATCTGCGATCCACAAGTTCATAAATCACTAAAAACTGAGCGCTCCCATGTAGGATAACTCCAGAACACTATGTAAGAATTACACACCCTATATACAGGAAGATGCAGAATTGTGCCCATTCACGAACTAACAATCGTAGCCAATAGTTTTCCAATGAATTGTCCATGTTGATAAAAATCTGAAAACCAAAAATGCCCAATTATGACTCAATTCAAAAGTCCGCGTGTTGCACTTTTTAACATGCTGCTATAAGAAGTAAAATTAAGAGACTCATACCGCAATTTCTGTCACTGCTACAATGTGCATTGCACCTTGAAATTTCCTGAACAGTAACAAGTTCCAAAGATAATTGTAATCTCTCCAATGGTTTATGCTATGTACTGAACTGCAAAATCTTAGAGGAACATAAAATGGAATGTGAAGTTCATACTTGAACATGGTGTATTTTGTATAAACTGCATCATGCATTGCCTGCACATCCTCGTCCTCAATAAAACTCAATTGTTCCCGTAGGACTAATAGGTTTTGAGATATGTGGTGGAAAATCAAATAGAACGAGATGAAATAGTTTAGAAGCAGAAGGACCTGAATACAGAAAGTTAAGAGGCAATTAGTATGTTATGGTAGAAACATCTGGCAGCCATGAAATCAACATAAAGTAGCAGCTACCAGATTAAAGTCTCTACGATTTAACTAGTCAAGAAACTCACTGAGAAGTAAGGTATTGAAGCTCTGTAACCCACAAGGGTTAAGTAGAAGACACAAGCAAGTGCAGCCGTAGATCGCCTCTGGGTTACTGACAGACGCTCATACATGATGCAATAACCATGGGAAATGAGAAAGAATGACACAAAAGAAATAGTTTGGAAGAGGACTCCAGTTATATACACTCCAAATGAAATCCACAGAGAGCATATTTGAAGATAAAAGCAAGAATACCTGCAGCAATATTAAACAATTCACTGGATTGTGTGCTCAAAATTGCAAAAACATTTTTCTTAATCCTTCACATCAAACATTATATGGACTAAAAATGCGACAAGTGAGTACCAGAAGAGGAAAGACAGCATGAGTTGCAAAGCTTTGATCAATGGAACAGACGCAAGCGCCAATTGCAAATTATTCGTCTGCTCTAGTACATACAAAAATACCAATAACGAAAATCTTTAACATAATCATAGCAACCCCAAAAGAAAAACAATTCAATTATGGATAAAAAATCAAAATCAAATATGGAAATAATGAACATACGCATTTTTTTATTAAATTACGCACACTCCGACTGGTTCGGTGCCATTCATACCGGGTATTTATAAAAGATAAATCCTCGTAGCCTAGCTAAAGGGTTAACAAGATTCGAACTGCGTCTGGGTATTTACAGCTGTTGGGAGCTACCTTTGGGTTGAACATAAGCATAAAACTCTACTAATCACCACCTAAGAATGGGGGAATTTTTTCTCTCTCACTGCACAAATTTTCTCTTCTTTACTTCAAATTCAAAGAAGAAATGAACAAAAATTAAGTGAAAACATACGGATAACAATGAAACTGAATCAGAAAACATATCTGGGGATTTGACCTGAAAATGGCGGTTTTTGTATGTAATGATGGTCCAAGAACACGCAGAGACGAACCAGATCATCGAGAAAGCCAGGTAGATTGAAGGGAGTGGCCTATAAGCTTCATCGAGACCGCAATGATCCATTTGAAGACTGAGAACAGAGAACAGTGGTTTAATTCATTAATCGAGTTGTAATTATTGAGTTTAGTTCTCAAGAGTTTATGATTGGGAGGCGGAGAGTGGCTATATATACGCACCCACGTCCTAAATGTGTCCATTTTTCTCTAACAAATACTATTCAGACTTAAAAGATAATTTGTTGAACTAATTCGTTATGATTTTTAAATTAATTATGGGTCCATTAAATATTAGAATTTGATATTTTTCTGATAATTTTAATGAAACTATATCATTTGATCAATAAATTATGTCAAATTTTTACGTCTAAATAATATTTTTTTTTCTCTTCTTTGTTAATTAATGTCTAATAAATTAATTAAGAATTAAGATTAATGATTACCGTCCCGCTGTTAAATTTTAAAGTCATGGTATCGTCACTTTTCCATAATCGAGACCCATAATTAATTTAAAAGTTATAATAAATTAAATTAACAAATTAAATTCAAATACAATTAGATAAAGTTAAGCGAGGGTGTGAATTGGCTTATAACAAATTGTATCATTTTTGAGTTTGTATAGAATATTAATCAATCATAACTCACCTAATTTAAGTGATTATGACCTGTGTGGTGATACAAATCTTGCACGTTTATTTGTCAAGTTGATTTTGAATTGGCACATGAAAATTGTAACCACGAGACCAAATAAAAACTCATTACCGATCAACCAAATCCATTCTCTCATGGGTCCTTATAAATAAAAATCTATCTATAAAATTATAGAAAATCACCTATATTTATAAGATACCAGATCAACCAAATCTATACTCTCATGGGTCCTTATAAATAAAAATCTATCTATAAAATTATAGAAAATCACCTATATTTATAAGATACCAATTAAACGTGTTTATCACGTTAAAATTGAGTTATTCACGTTTGACGTTAACTCGACTTTTTTCTTCCTTGTGTTCAAAGGTTATGTCATTTTTTTAGTTTGTACCAAAAAATAGTTCACCCCTAACCCACTAATTCGTGTTAACATGTTACAAACATTGTTACCCTTAACTTTGGCATCTTATTGACATCTTTAATATAAAATATGACAGACTTCAATATATCCATTCAACAGTCTCAAATAAATTTATTCAAATATTATCAACATTCATCTTAAAACAATTCACATTGTATTGTGCATTCAGACACGAATTACGCTTACTCTATAATATAAAATATGACAGATTTTAATATTTTTATCCAATTGTCTCAAATAAACTTATCAATAATTACTAACATTCCTCTCAAAACTATTCGTATTAAAATTTTTTCACCCCAAATTCATCATTTTTTATCTACGTTGTATCGTGCCTTTAACCATGAGTTATTCTTAGTATTGTATATTACAAAAGGTTGTTTGCTTGCATATGTATTTTCTTATCTTTTTTAGACGCCTCCAAAGTATTTTTTTCATTAGTTTGATAGAATTTATGTTAGACTTTTGTTAAGAACGCAAAGCTCATGGGGGCAGGTTTTGGGGGAGATGCGGTAGTTGGAAGTGCATGATGATGCGGTCATGCATGCAACAACACCACCTCTTTACGGATTAAACTCAACCATCTAAAGATTGTTTACAATAGAGACTCCCCATTGATTATAGATGGCTTTTGTAATGTAATGTGAAGGATCCGTTTGGTTAGGAATAAAAAAATTAAAGAAAGTGAAGTGAAAGAAAAAAAAAAATAATTTCATGTATATATTTGGTTAGCATGAAAAATTTGTGAATTTTTTTTAAAAAAAATACATTTTATTGTTTGAAAGAAAAGAAAGTTACAAATTTTTTTTTCTATTTGTCTAAATTACCTTTAAGTATAATAAATTGATCAAAAGAAGAGAAAAAAAATATGTATTATAATTAAAAATTTAAAACATAGCTAAAATATATCACTTTTCATTTTAAAGACAAGACAGTAAAGGGTTTTTCATGATATTCAACATCTTTCTGATAGAAATCAGATGAATAATCTTGTAAAATCTATTAGTATTATAAATTATTGAGAAAGAGGAGTTTGATGTTCACGAAATAAATACTTATAAAATCTCGCATTTTGCTGCATTCAACTTTCTGTTTGTTTTTAATTACTCTCATATCTCTCTCTGTCTTTTACTCTCTTTTTATTTTACTCTTTTAGAATAACACACCCGTGACTATGTATAACACCCACTAGTAACTAATAACATTCTCGACCCGACATTCTTTTAATTTATAATTACTAAGTAAACTTGAAACATAGACAAATACATATAAACCACATTTATCGAGTTAAAAAAGTCATCTCTTAGAAATATCAAACCTAAAATGTTTGACATATGCACGTGAAGCCTCGGATTTGGAAAGGAAAATCAACTACTCCACCAAATAACATAGGACAGGTAGGATGACAAACTGACCAACAACTTTTCAAGTTTTGGACAACCGATGCTGACCTTAAAGATAGTCAACAAAATTCCTAGAGGGGTCAAAGTTTAGGCTTTAATTCACTTATATAGTCTCATAGACAAAACGCACATTAGGTGAGCAAACACCAAAACAACACTAGTTTCTTAACTCCCACCCCACTAAAGCCAGGACATATGTTTTCTATTATGTGGGTCCTCCCCCCCCCCCTCCCCCCTCCCCCCCCCCCCCTCCTTCCTTCTTTTTTGGGTAGGTAAATAAAACTACAAAGACATCCTAATAAAGGAAATGCTAGCCGAGTGCCGTTAAGCCTCGTTCTAATATGGGGTGGAGGAGAATCAAGTTCCATAAAAAGGACTCTAATTGTTGGACTTTAAGATCTATTATATAAAATAAGGTAAGCATCAGTAAACTTATTTGCCGATATCACGTAGACTCATTTAACGATTATTAACACTCATCTCAAAACCATTCATATTAAATTTCCTCCCTTCTTCCCTCTCAAATCTATCATTTCTCACTTACGTTATACCGTGTTTTCATGTACGACTTCTAATTTGCCAATATATCCGGATATTGGTTGTCTTCTCAGAGTGTGTGAATGATAGGTGTATATGGTTCTCTTTCATCAGGATTTTGCATCTTGCCACAAGGTACCTACTAGGATGTGAATCCTCAATGCTCCATTTAATCCGAATGATCATGTATGCCGGGTCAATTCAATGGGTCACAAGTCCGGCCCCAAGTAAAAGGGCCATCTGCCTAGTAAAGATATTCATAGGCCTTAAACTCGTTGGACCTGGTTAACCGGAGACCTTTGCCCAAACAACAGTCCATCATTGTGGAGGCTAGAATACCCAACTGTAAAGCTTCTCCTCTCGCTTTAAATGGGCCTGGGCTCTGGAATTCATCTGGTCCGCAGATGGCCTCAAATAATGTATCTGTTATCGTCAATATGGAGAATTGTGAAATGGTACATTAAATAATACTTATTGGCATTAAAGTAAATAATACATAATGTTAAGTCATTTAGTCCTAAATTTTCTAAGTTTATTGTGTCCAAATACACGTTTTGAGTTTTTTAGATTTTTCTTTGATGTATTTGTCCGCTCTTTAAATCATGCATTTTAGATTTGACAAATATTTTATTTTTTGAATTTGTTACATTATCTTATATATATTTTTAATTTTATGGATGAATTATATTCTTAGAAGATTTGTTGTCTAACGTCTATTCCTTATATCATCATCTATTTTGATTTTTGAAATATGTTTTTTAGTATCTTTGTCATCAAACATATTTTCTTTCTTCTTCTTCAACCGTCAGTCATTATCATTCTTTTTATTTTCTAACCAGTTTTTGTTTTTCTTCTCCTTCTCCAACGTTCAACCATTATTAGGTTCAAAATTATGCTTTTATTCATTTTTTATTCTTTTGTTTAGTTTTTTTTCGGTTCATTTTTTATTCTTCTGCTTGGTTTTGTTTGATTTACCATTTAAAATACAAAAAATAAAAAATAAAAAATCCACAATCTATGTGTGAAGTCGTAGTCCTGAGCTCGTATTTTTTTTTGTTTTTGATGTCATTTTATTCCTAGCCTTGTTTGAGGCCAAAAAACGTATTCGCCATCATCAAATTCTAAAGACACAAATTGAAGAAGTGTACCATCTATAGTGTATCAACAAAGTGTAACACTAGAGTGTGTCACCAAAGTGTACATTCATAATATGTCTACAAAGTGTTCCCTGCAATAATGTCAAAACTAGGTAGACTTACCTTTTTTAATTTTATAAATTCATATGCCAACATAATAAAAATATCGTGACAACAAAGGGCTACTCAAACACATCTGTATGGAAAACAACATATAACATATAATTGTAGAGACTCAAGATATACGAGGTGTGACTCTAAAGTGTAGCAATGATAAAAAATCAAGCACTTAGCCGTGTAAATTGAGTTTCTTGTGTGTTGATTATGTGCATGTCTTCGTCAAAACATAGGTTCATTAAACTATTTTATTCCAAAATTTGACTTCTTATGAAGTCGTAGTGCTAAAAGTGTTATAATACAGTGTGGTAATAAAGAGCTATACAATGTAAATGTTGAATTTTTTAACATTCAGATTCATAATTTAAAATACATTTGATTTACCATTTAAAAAAAAAATCCACAATCTACATGTGAAGTAATAGTGTTGAGCTCGTGTTTTTTTCTTGATGTCATTTTTTTTCTGGCCATGTCTGAGGCAGGAAAACATATCCACCATTATCAAATTTTAAAGACACAAATTGAGAAAGTATACCATCTAAAGTGTATCAACAAAATGTACATTCAAAGTGTGTAATTCGAGCAAAACAAAAATTCATGACAATAATATTTATATAATAAAGTATAATATAATTCAAATCTCAAAAAGATAAACAAAATATTTTTTGTTTTTTGTGGGTAAAATCTCTTTAAATTTTATTTTAAAGTTAATTTGACGGCTAATATTAACACCCCAAATTTAATGAGAAAAATAGGCTTTTAAGGATGTTTTTGAGTGACTTTTTAAAAGTGTTTCTATGACTTATAACTTCTCATAAATATTTTAAAAAAAAAGTAGCGTTTGAAATCTCCCTATCACCACC